TGATCTGCAATTTCACCTGATTTGTTCAATATTTTCTCGAGCAAGATGGCGGGCCTGAAAACATCCGGAGTTGGCAGAATATTGACATTCGCAGATGATGCTCTCGTAAATAGGAAGGACATAGATCGGAATAAAAAAGCTCAAAAGTTACAGGCAACAGTAGATAAGACTGGTGTACAGAGATAGGTGCTGTAATTAACCCATAAAAGGCTACCTTCATGTGGTGTTCTTTGGACAACAGGATTCTTAGAACTGACGTTCAAAGCCTCAAAATAAATCGCAGGGACATTAAAAGAAACACGATACTGTGATACCTGGGAATCGTCTTTGGCAGAAGTTTGTCTTTCAAGGATTACATAGAGGGGGTTATGAAAAGGCTAAAAAAAAAAGTCTGAATGCTCTCAAGATTATGGCAGCGATGGCAATGGAGCAGAGAATGCTGTTCACACTCTACCAGCACTCAATCATCTCATTGATTGATGATGGATTGGGGTTACTCACTGTCTTGAAGAGTCAAATAGAGAAACTGGAGCGTATACAGAATGAAGCTATGCAGGTGATCCTGGGATGTACAAAAAGACACCCCAATTGTGTGCATGTAATACATCCTTGCATTGCCGACTACTGCAGATAGGTTAAATGTGCTGCAGGCCAAGTCATGCATCGGAGTAGCTGCAGACAAATAACACCCTCTGTGTGAAGCTTTGGCTGCAGGTAAGGGTCATAGGCTGAAAAGGCAAAAATCGTGGATTCTCAAGCAGAAGACAATAAAACAAGTGTGCATGCTGGAGAACATTGGGCGAAGAGAAGAGTGGAGCAGATATGATCAAATTGGACCACGAGAGCAGAGAATGGCCAACGGGTGCTACGGAGGTTAAGTCCAACAGCTGATTCTCGGCAATTCTCGGCCAGATGATCAGATTATCTATACTGATGGCTCGGCGATGAGAGGGAAGAAAAGAACCTGGGGGGGGGGGGGGTGGTTCGGGGCGATGCCAATGGAAAATCTTTAGTGCAGGACAGCCTTGCACACGATTCCACAATATCTAGCATGAGAACAGAGGCGGTATCTGCAACTTTCCAGTGGCTAGAGAAAAAGATGCATCACATGTGCTAATCGTAACAGACTCTGAAAGCATTCCGAGAAAGGTGAAAACAGGAATGCTTCGAGCAGAGTGGCAAGCATCACTGGGAATGTCACGGGTAGTGAGCATACTTATAATCTTTTCCTCAGGAATGCCAGCGTGGTGGGGATGAACACACAGACAGAGTGGCTTGATCTGCCCCACTGGGTGGTGAATTCATTCATGTCAAGGCAGACGCGGTCAGAACCCTTTGGGAAAAAGCAACGGAGTCAGAAGTAAAACAAGATTATTTTGGCCTGGAGAGAATGAGGCAGCTGGGTGTAACTAGAGGATTTGACCGGCTGAGTACACTCAAAGGAAAGACAAGACCGACATATAACCAGATTATGACTGGTACTATTAGTATTGACACTCTGCTCTTGTTGCTGAAGATGCGGAAGGAGCACGCATGGGAATTCCCCTGAGTGATGTGATGTCAATTTTCAACTCAACTTAACTCTAAAAGAGAACATTTATAAATGGTTAGGGGAACCGCTTTTTAAAGCAACACGTGAAACAACAGAAATTACACATCAGTCATATAAACAATTAAACGATATAGAAATATTAAATAACATATACATAATCTGTGAACTCGAATACGAATGAACGAAGTTCAACCCCACAAGGATGCACAACGAGCGATAAACACCCGGTGACACAAGGACACAATTAATAGACCCAAGAGTCCTACCAAACACAAACATCGACACTGATCATAGAGCAGTTATAATAAGAAAGAACACGGAGTACAGAAAACCTGGACATAAAATAGTAACCACAGATGTTATCAACTTCCAGAGACTTCAAGATAATGTGGTTAAAGATGAGATTCAACAAGAAATGACAGAGCTACTAAATAACCTTCCAGGCGAATATTCAGACATCGATTCAGAGTGGACATGTTTTAGGATGGCTATGCTCAACACACTTCAAACCAAATGCGGAGTCAGAAGGGTAGGTGGTGTAAAACGTTTAATAACTATTTGATAAAACAAGGAAGTTGAAGACAGCGTATCCAAAACGAAGGGGGCATATTAAAAAAATGCTAAAATCAAAACCACATCAAGATTATGTCCAATACAGATTAGTAAGAAGAGAAGCAAAACGCAAAATTAAAACATCTAAAGACGAGTCTTGGAGAAACTATGGTCAACAGATGGCTACCCTCAGCAAGAACTTCATTAGAGAATTCTATAAACATGTAAAAATCATGAGAGAAAGAGACATAGGCTACAACCCAACAACTATCATCAACAACAAGAGAGGCATACCTCTATTTAGTCCACAACAGAGGTTGGCAAGATGGGCAGAGTATTTTCAAAAACTTTTCAACCCCACAAGCAACGTAGATAATTTAACTTTGTACCTCAAAGCTGAAAACAAGAGGAACCAAATTTCATAGCAGTGGAAGTAAGAGCAGTTATACAGATCAGCCCCAGAAACAAAGCACCAGGTCTGGATGGAGTTAATACAGAAGGGATCCAAGCATGCGGAGAAGTGGGTCTCAAATGGCTTACTATAATTTTTAATATAGCTTGGGAAGAAAGAAAAGTCCCAGCTAAGTGGCAACAGGCACTAATAGTACCGTTATGGAAAAATAAAGGTAATAGGAGATAATGTGAAGCATACAGAGGATATATCACTACTGAGTCACGTAGGAAAAATGTACACCAAATTACTAGAAGTTAGACCCATAGCTGAACAACAGCTGAGTGCATCACAATTCGGTTTCAGAAAAGGCAGAGGATGCACAGATGCATTATTCAGTCTGAGAAAGCCATTGAGTATAATACCAAACAGAAGTTTACACACGTATGCTTTTTTAATGACTCGATGAATATGCTGAAAAAAATTCAAGCTGGATTTATCAGACAAGAATGGATTGAAACACTAAACACTTCACGGATATCTGCCATAACCTTCATCTTTGTGCCAGGTTATGCGGGTGTTCAAGGGAACGAGCGTGCAGACTATCTTGCCGACACTGCAGTTGCTATGGCTAGCCCAGTACTGGACAGAAGTGATGTTATCAATGCTATGCGCTGCACTTACCGTACCGAGGAGCAAGCCAAAGGACATGACTCCAAATCCCTGTCTAGACTGATGGACATGGAGGTGCAGCCTGGAGCAGCAAGAAATTAACATTTCACTAAGAGGACAAGACGTTTCATTAACCTACACAGAACAGGCGTCATCAGTCGTTTTACCCTTGTGGAGCTTTTGAGGAGGAGATCGGAGCACCTATGGATCTGTCCGGTGTGCTGTGATGATAATCCTTTTTAATCACTAATCACAAACAGAATATTGTGTTTGTAGATCAGGAAAAGGCTTTTGATAAAGTGGATAGAAACAAAATGTGGTCTGTTTTTGAGAACTACGGGGTGCAAGGACAGTTGCTAGAGAACATCATAGCCATGTACCATACAAGCAATAAGAACACAAGAAGGAATATCAGATATGTTCACAGTCAACACAGGTGTGAGACAGGGATGTGTGCTCTCTCCACTTTTATTTAACATTTATATAGACATAATATCTAAAGAAGTAAGTTCTGATACAGACAACATAGAACTTAATAATCACTAGGAAGTACACACAGAAAAGGTTATCGATTCACCCACATGAAACGAACTACTATTTGCTGACGACCAGTGCTTGTTCTACCCTGAAGAATTATGTTGTAGGCGATGTCTCGCCACAATCTGCAAGACCACATTAACAGGTTAAACTCAGCATGCAGTAAATACAACATGAAGATCAATGCAAACAAAACCGAAACAATGCAGGTTAGTAGAACCCCTGCTCCACTATGCATACAGTTGAATGGTTCTGCTCTGAATCAAGTTAGGGAGTTTAAATATCTAGGAAGTATGATCACAGAAGATAATAAATTGACAGAGAAATAGAAACCAGATGTCAGAAAGCAAGTGCACTTAATACCAATTGTCACCATTATAAAGACATCCAAGCATAACTATGAGTGCAAAGAGGCAGATTATTAACAGCATGTTCATCCCCAAAATTAGGCTACCAGTGCCAAACATGGACACTATCTAAAGCCCAAATACGCGAAATCACCACCTGCGAGATGAAGTGCCTGAGAGAAGCAGCCAGCATAACCATCCGAGATCGAGTAAATAATGAAACTCTCAGGCAAATTAGGGGAACGACACCTTGTACTAGATTCATCGAGGATCAGCAGATCAAGTGGTTTGGCCATCTCGTTAGAATGCAGCAAGATCAAATACCATCACAAGCACTACGTCTCAGAAGATCACCCACAAAAGCAAGAGAACGGCCGCGGAAAAAATGTATCGACAACATTAAAGACACTCTACGACTTCACGGCATGACAATAGCCAGTGGCAGCCAACGTGCACTGGGTCGCAAATTAACCCACGACGCTTAACCGCTGAAGTGGTTTATGATGATGATGACGCAAGGTGCCACCATTCAGATGAGAAACAACCAGGCGCAAGTCCCAGGCACACCGTTTAACCGTTGCATTTATTAGGGCCTCCGACAGCAGCTGAAGTGGGGCTTCATGTAACGAAAAATTGCCCCCCCCCCCCCTCCCATGTTAGTGTGGTCTATGAAACCCACCTTATAATAACTATATTTCCCGATTATAATACTGATGGTTGAACATAATATTTTAAAACAAATAACTACTACTACTTACTCCCTTGCAAATTCATAGTTTTGGGACTGCCCCCCTTCCCAAATTATGGGGTTGGTGGTGTCGAAAGTATTTGAGGCCATGCGAACCCGCCTAAACGGGGTATTAAAGGGGTAAGTATGTCAATGATAACAGCAAGGAAGGGACGGCATACAACTCAAGGGAAGAAACTGGCATATCACGTGACCCTCAAAATGGCTGATGGAGTGGAACCTCCCCCGTTCGACAACGACGATGAAGTTAAAGATGACGACGATCTTTTTTCTGATGCAAAAGAAGTAAACAAATAGTTTTCTGATAATTATGAAAAGTCGTTTTAATTTGCAAGCTTAGCGTTAAAAAGAATTACATAAGTTTGTACTTAACAAAACAAACATTTCTTCTTACGAGTTACGGACGGTCAAGAAGAAATCCAATATCAATAACTTTCTAATCGGAACTTATCCCAGCTGTGGCGAATTTGGATTAATTAACTGTGTTACAATAACAAGTATAAACTATACAACTAAAATGTGTATATGCGCAGGCAGTAGCTTATGGCTATAACGATTTGTCAGCGAAAGTATCTGTAGAAGTGTTAACACGACAATTTTGTTCTTATTATATTATGGCAATCTTTCGTTTGTAGACAATTTCCCAATTTCTTCTTTCTTAGCCTTCTTACACAATTCAGTCACCCAGTCAGGACCTTATAGTTACAGTTACAGGCAGTTAATTAGTTGTACAAACAGTGGTGTGGTTACTGTAGTCAGTACTGCCTATTGTGCAGTGTCACTGAATTTGTAGACTTAGTTAGTTAGTTAGTTATTCCTCTTGTGCCAAAGATGGCGCATAGGGCAGAGGTCATAGCTTTCCACGTCTGTCGGTTCGTTGCCACTTGATGTAGGTCTTGAGTGCGACTGAGACCTATGGTTGAGCTCTCCCTTGTGATGGTTCTACGGAGGGTTTCTTTTGGTCTTCCCTGTTTTCTTTTACCCTCTGGTGACCATATGAAGGCTTGGTGGGGAAGTCTCTGTATGTCCATTCTGAGTACGTGACCGATGTAATTCCAGCAACGCATTCTAATAAAATCGGACACATATTTTTGTTTTGTTTCCTGTCTTATAGATGTATTGGACCTAAAGTCCGACCAGTGAACATTCAATAGCTTTCGGAGGCATCTATTCTCGAAAGCGACTAGTTTCTTATCGATTGATACTGATGATTTCCAACTCTCACAGCCATAAGTTAGCACTGGGATCACACAGGAATTGAAGACCTTAAGTTTCGTGTTGTTGCTGAGTGATCTTGACTTCCAAATGTTTGACAGTTTGTTAAAGGCACTTGATGCTAACGCGATTCGAGTCGTTATTTCTGATGTTGTATCTCCCGCAGAGGTTATCTTGCTCCCTAAGTATGTGAAGCTGGTGATTTTTTCAAGAACAATATCCTTTAGTTTGATGTCTTTCGACTCGTTGGTAAGATCGATGATTTTCGTTTTGGCTGCGTTGACCTGAAGGCCGATTTGGCTTGAAATATTCTGGAGGCGGTCCATTTTTTCCTGAGCTTCTAGATGTGTTGTGCTCAGGAGTGCTAGGTCGTCAGCAAAGTCAAGATCTTCGAGAACTTTGTCGACCCATTTGATGCCTAGATGTGTGTCCTGTGTGCATTTGCGCATGACCCAATCGAGTGCTATTCCGAAAAGCATCGGTGACAAGACACATCCTTGTTTCACGCCTGTTTCTGCTGGGAACCAATCAGAGTTACCAGATTCCGTATTTGTAGACTGGTAATATAAAGAAAATTCTGGTTCTTGCAATAACGGTCCCTACCTTGACGGCGACGGCCGCTTAGTCGGAGTTCAGTCCCCTGGCTGCAGTGCAATTACGAAGTGGACAAGGCACGAATCACAAAACACAGTGAGTTCAGCATGGCATCTAGACCACGTGCTGCGACTCACATTAGCGTAACCCTAGCTCTAACCCTAACCCTACCCCTAGCCCTAAGTATGCCATTTGTGTCGTTCCCTCTTTCCACTCCGTAATTACACTGCAGCCAGGGGACTGAACTCCGACTAAGCGGCCGTCGCCATCCAACTAGCGACCGTTATTGCAAGGAGAGCCAAAATTCTCTATTGACTCATTAATTCATATGTTTACCACAGCAGCAGGTTTCTTCTGGGTCTACCTCAGGCTCCAAGCCATTCTCCACTTTTACTTTTGCTTTAATATACGCCTTGTATGTTGATGGCATCTTAACTTACCATCTTTGACATTTTTTGTTTCAACATTCATATTATAATAACCGCCCTCTGACATTTTGAAACTAAGTTAGTAATTCTGATATTTTGTAAGTTTTGTGGTTCACAGTACATCTTGTTCTTTCCCAGAAGCCATCATCACCTGAATCGGACAAGTCTCCAGAGGTGCAGGTAAATGGATCAGCTCCACAGAATGCTAAAAAAGATGTCAATAAAGGAGATGATTTTGATGATGATGACGACGATGATGATCTGTTTAAAGGTACTTTGAAGAAATCCTTTATAAATACTTTCTAGCCACTGTGTTCATTTGTTCTTTATAACTGCAATAATTTGAAGCTGAATAGTTTTACTTGTCATTTGATTTTATATCTTTTTTTTCACTAATTTCAAATCTCATGTGTCTCACTCTCCCAGAACTGTTGCTATCCAAGAATACATCCCTGCCTGCTTAACAGGCATGTCATACATGTTGCCTGAGTGGCAAGGAACCAACAATCTGCATACCTAATCTGTAAAATGGATGTGCACGCAAAAGTCACGTTCTGGAGCAACGCTAAGGGGACAAACAACCAAAACTTTCCACTCTCGTTTACAGCCAGTGAACACGAAGAAGAAGACGAGGAAGAATACAATGTTGTGTTACTGTGGACCAGAACAGAAGCAAAGAGTGTTGTAACGAGACTGACTCCTCCAATAAAAAAATCTAGCTATGAAATCCAGCCAGACATGAACAGATATGTCAAGTTGTTTGATGTGTCCCCATGTAGGTTTCAGGACTTCTTTTTTGTGAAAAAAAGGGGGGGGGGGGGGGGGGTAGACCCACTACATCCCTAACAAGCATGTTGTAAATGGCGACTAATCATGGCTGTTTCCTTCAAAGTCAGAACACAACTGCCTGAAAGGTGAGAAGCCAACAGTCTGCATATTTTCGGACTTTGGTCTTGTGTTCAAGAACTTGAGTTTTGCATGCACATCCATTTTAAATCTTTACCAGATCTTTAAAATGAATGTGTATGCAAAATTCAAGTTCTGAAACAAGACCAAAGTCCAGAAGTTGACAAACAACCAGAACTTTCTGCCAGAGTTTACAGCTGGAGAAAACTAAGAAGAAAAATAAGAGTGTGGTGTGAGTTAGCCGAGGTCATATTCTCTGTTGGGAGTTGAAAGACAGATGCAGAAGAATACATTTTGATGAATGGCTGAATGAGGTTAATCAGTTAATTGAAGTTCCAATTTAATGGGAAACAGACTGTCCCCATAGCTGCTCCATTCCTTTACTAATGAAAACCACACAGAATGCCCATCACTGTCCCTTATGACAAAATTGAAAACAGACTGCAGTCTTGACAAAACCAGTATCATACATACACATTACAAGCATATGGCAGCCATCAGAAGTGCCAGCACAAACAGTCCACTGCTATAGTTGCAGCTCATTGTCAATGGAAGCAGCATTTACAGCATATCGGCAGTTGCACACACAGCATTGCCTAAGGCACCACCAATTCAATGGAAACAGATCACTTGTTCCAGCATGTGATCCTGTCGGTGATAGATTACGGACTTGGAATGCTTACTATATCAAAGAGTCAGCTGAGAGAACTCGAACACACACAGAATGAAGCCAATGCGGGTAACTCTGGAATGTACAAGAGATACCCTTGTAGTATGTATGCGATAATACTTGCACTGCCTACTATTGCAGTTTGGCTCAAAGTTCTGCAGGCAAAATCATATCTCAGAGTAGCTGCAGACAAGAAGCACCTCATGCATGAAGCCCTGATAGAGCTAAGGGTCACAGACTGAAAAAAGGAAGGTCTTGGATGGCGCAAGCTTAAGACACAATTGGACATGTGTGCAGGCTTGATAAATTTGAGCGAGGAGAGGAGTGGGTCAAGGTGTCCGAACAAGTTTCAGACTTGTGTAGGGTTCTAATTACTTTAGGTCGTGGGTGCAGAAACTGGCCAGCTGCAGAATCAGAAGTTCAAGAAAGGATTCATGACAATTCCTGCCCAGGTGATGGAATTATCTATACAGATGGCTCTGTATTAAAGAGCAGACAAAGTGCATGGGGGTTCATAGCAAAGTCGAATGGACGTCGCTTAGTGCAGCAAAGCCTTGCATATGATATCACAAGGTATAGTTTTAGAATAGAGGTGGAGGCAGTCTTTGCTGCCTTCCACTGGCTTGAGAATCAGCTGTACACATATGCCGTAATTGTAACTGACTCACAGAGCATGTTGAAAAAGGTGAAGACAGGCATACTTTGTGCAGAGTGGCAAGCATCACTTTAAAGGTTCCGGGTAGTTAGCATCCTTTGGGTATTTTCTCCAGTGATACCAGTGTGTTGGGAAATGAGCAGGCAGATAGACTGGCCGGTTCTGCACCACTTGGTGGTGAATTATTGTATGACACGCTAGATATTGTGAGTGCCCTTTGGGAACGAGTGAACAGTGAGGACGCGCCGATAGATCTTTACAGTCTGAGGACAATGGGGCTGCGAGGAGTTACCCGGGAATGTGACAGATGCCTAACACTCAAGGGAAGGATGAGATGATATACATTCAGACAGCTACTGGTGCCATTGGAATTGGAACTCTTCGCTTGCTGCTAAAGAAAGGGTCGGAGTGCTTATGGCTGTGTTCCGAGTGCTGGGATGTCGATTCTTAATTCAACATTCAGTGGCTGTGTCATCATTGTACAATTTTCTCCACCTCCTCCTTCTTGTTCAAAGGGTTATTGGTGATGTCTTCACAAGATGTTAATTTTATGTATATTGGTAAAGAGGAGTGGCTTGCTGAATGTTCAGAAATACTGACCTGTCATGCGGCAGACCTGGTTCGAAATTTCTGTAAGTTTGAGGAATTTTTTCTGTTCGGGTGGGTTGGGGGGGGGGGGGGGGGGGGGGGGGGGGAATCCTAACCTGCAGAGTCAGCACTAGCCATGCAGCCCTAAATCTAAAGACTGACTCAAAAAGAGAAGAAAAAAAAACTGCATACACCACATAAGTGGTACATAAAGGCCTCAGATGCAGTTTATTGCTGTAATTGAGAGCTTGTTAGATTCCCAAGTAGCTGTGTTTGAATATGTTGTCACTTTTGCCTGTGCAGTCTACAGTCGATAACACACATGCAAGTCTTGAATTATTGAACGAGTCTGTGTGTCTCTCACATTTTTAAAAACAGATTATTCTCTATTTTACACGCAGGTGGGAGTTCTGAAATTAAGCTAGATTCAGATGACGATGATGCCAAAGAAGATGCCCATAAAGTGTCCTCAGGCTCTCAACCTGCTTCAGCAGGGACATCAGGCAGAGAATCAAAGCCTCAGATACCAGTTTCTGAGACAGTAACATCAAAGACTAAAATTGCAGCACCATCTCTGAAATCTGATGAAGTAAGATTCATGATGCTATTTTATTCCTTCTACATTTTATTCCTTCCAAACATATTGTTTGCTTTCCTTTAGAGAAAAAGGCAGGCCAAGTGAGGGATCCAGCTGCATGGTCACTACAGTACTGCCCAAGCTTTGTGGAGATTTTTGAACTTCATCCCTATGCCTCCCTAGAGCACAGTAAAACACTATTGTCTGAAAATATGCATAGATGCTGACACATTTGATCCCCCATTGGAGCAGCATAGGCCATCATACATTAACTTCAAGCCTTTCTATCTTTTAACTGGCACTTGCAGCTTCCATATATCTTCCTATATTAATCTCTTCCTCAAGTCTCTTCTCCATGTAATTTTATGACCTTTTAAATAAACTTGCCAAACAGTTTCTTGAGGCCTCGGAAATGTGGTTTTACAAAATTTTTAGAATTCCTTGGACAGTCAAAAAGAGCAACCCAGATGTTTTGAAAATGGTAAGGGCTCGAAGACAACTTATCATATGCATTAGAAAGAGACAGGCATAATTTTTAAGTCATTTTATGAGAAGAAGAAAACTGGAACATGTTGTGACAACTGGAAAAATGAGTCAGAGAAAGACAGTGAGAGGTGATTTTTGACAGCCTTTTGTCATTCCATGGAGGGGTTTCAGCACACAAGCTGATACATGCTCTTGAAGATCAGTTGAGGAGAGGTATGACTGCCCACATCAGTCAGCAAACTAGTTGGTGATGGTGATTTATTTTGTTCTGTGGTAAACTGGTAAACTGGTGTTGGTAAGAAAAAACGAAAAACTTCTTGCCTCTTTCAACCAGCTCCTAGAATGAGCTTTGGTTATATCAAGGCGGTGTTTTGTTGTCTGGAGTTCGTTCTCCAGTAATTGACGTTTCTTGTGCGGCGATCGTATTACGCCTGAGGGTTTGTTGCTTCTGTCAGAGTGAGGTAAGTGGGCGTGGCTTCGGCGGCGGACATCGTGTCGTCTGGTTGTGGGCTGTGAGGTTTCTCCGGGCTGGTAGGCGGGGTTGTTCAGCTGTCATGGCGGCTTGGGCGGTTTTACCTTGGTCGGTTTTGTCTGGCTTTTTAGTTTCGGCGGTTTTTCGGTGTTTTCTGCGTCGGTTGTTTCCGTTTTGTTTCTTGAATCCGCTCGTAGACCCTGTCCACCTGCTCCCAGTACCTATTCAATTTTATTCAAATACCCTTCTTTTTTGTTCGGGTGCTTCTGCATCTTTTGCCAACATCTGAATGTCATGGTCGATACAGTAGTGGCCCCTACAGATTATGATGCTGTGCGGGGCAACTTGCTCGTTGATGATTTCAACCAACTTTTCAAGGCCAGCCTCGCTTATGTCCTGGGGGATGTCAATTTCTTCTGCTTCTGGCGAGGTGCATGTTGTTTCAAGTTCTGCCTCCGCGAGTTCCGAGCTGTTGGTTTCTGTGCCTTGGTCTCTGCATTCTGCTTTTGCTTCGGTGATTGTGCCTCTATTCGCCTTCTGCGTCGATTTGTCTGTGTGGGTGCTTTTGTCAGCCCTGCTGACACTTAGGTTCTTTGTTGTTGTGCTGACTGCCGTTCTTTCTTTCTGTAACCGGTCGCGCTCTGTTCTGGTAGCTATCTCAGCCGCGACTGCCTCTGTTTTAGCCTGTACAAGTCGGGTGACCTCTCTGTATGCTTCTTCTCTAGCCTCTTTCATCGCTGTCATCTCTCTGCTTCTCTCCTCTCTCTCCTCCTGTCTACATCGTTCGTCTGCTGTCTGGGCCGCTGCCAAACTTGCGATTAAATTGCTGACGCTTTTTTTGGTTGCTGTGGCTACTTTCTGGTTTTCGCTTAGCTGTGCAGTAAACGTTTTTCAGATTTTTAATTTCTCCTAGCAACAGGGAGATAATTTCGTGCGTTTCTGCCTTTTCAGCAGCAGCGATGGTTTTCTGTTTCTGGAGCTCTGCTTTTAGTTCCGTGATTATGTTCGCAAGTTCAGGGTCTCTGGTGGTAGCATCCTTCTCTGGCGTCCTGCTTTTGGCTGGGCGGGCGGGTCGGCATTTTGTGCTGCTTGGTCTGGATGCCACGTACCTCTGCTGGTGGCTCAATCGGTCAGTTGCTAGCGCCAACTTGATCTCTTTGAGGTACGGGCAGCCCATATACCTCGCGCTGTGGGCCCCTGTACAGTTTGAACACCGTCTTCTTGGGTTTGGTCTCTTGAAGTCCGGGTCCTCCTTCGCCAGAGGGCATTCCTTAAAGTCATGTGCCTGTGAGCAGTACCTGCATGCTGGGTTGCTGCGGCAAGTCGCGGCGGTATGCCACGCCTTGTTGCAGCGTGAGCACTGCAGAATCTCAGTACAGTGGGTACCCGGTCGCTGTTGCTGCCTGTGTGGGCGGGTGTTGGTGGCTCCCTGCTCCACGACTGGGGCGGCTTCTAAGTAGGCTGGTGCCTCGATAGGGCCTACATCCAGGGCTGGCGGTGTCTGGGCTGGTGTCTCCTCCGGGTCGTCGACCGGTTCTGGCATCATCAGGTCTGGTGCGGCGACAGGTGCTTCCTCTTTGTTGGCTGAGGTCGCCCTGGTGTCCCGGCGCTGGACCGGATTCTTCTTACCACGGGCCATGGTTTCGTGTGGCTGAGGCTGGTAAGTCGGGCGGCAATTGATTGCTCGGTCCCTGCAGAGTCTGGCAAGGCTTGTTAGAGTATCCTGAAAAGGACACCCAAGCGTGCTTTTCTCCGCAGTTCTCGAGACAATCGTTCAAAAAAAACTGGCTGGTATGACTTGCTCCTCAACAATGCTGTGCTCCCGGGCCGCTAATAACCCACCCGCAGACGAATAACAATAGCGTAGTCGAGCCAAAACTCAGCCGAATATCAAGCGAGTTCTGACCAGTATCTAGCTATTGATAATCTGGCTGCGAATGGATAGTTAGCTAGCTAACGAGAGACACGTGGCTGATCGGGCGGTTTGAGCGAGCGAGCGAGAGCTGTGTCCGACTGGGCTGTCTGCGCTGACTCGGGGGACTGGCTATGGGCTCAAAAGAAAAAAAAAGACTTTCTATATATACTGTCAAATAGTTTTCTCAATATGTGTCCTATTCAGCAACTTTTCTTTCGTTTTTGTATTAACCGTTAGAGCATGCTGTTCATAACTCATTAACTACCATAAGCTGCCAGTAACCTGAAAATTGTATAGTCGGGGAATTAATTAATAGTTACCATTTTCTGTACACCCTTCATGTCATTTTTGACACATGAGGCATTAACAAGTAATCTCCCTTGCTGCCAGTCTGCTGCATTTTTGCCTATCGTATCCCTTGTTATTTTTCATTCATTCATTTTCCTTTCTACTATTCTCCTTCAGGTTTCATAGGTTGTCCACATCTCCTTTTTTTATATACCAAATAACCAAGTGTTGAAAGTAATAATGTACTTAATGTAATGGTTTGGGCACATGGGAAGTGAACATTCACACATCTTACTTAGGACTGATATAGTTAATGAGTTAAAACAAAGGATGAAACAGTGACCAAAATGTATCTGCATTCCATGCTTACATTATTGTTATTTTACTGTTACATTGTTACAGACTTTGCCTTACATTCAAACATGCAACAATTGTCTTTTCTTGAATTACAGCTGTCTGATAGCGGGGATGAAACAGAGACGTTTGAGATTGAGATAAAAATTACAGATACCCTGAAGATGGGAGATGGCATGTCAGCATATATGGTTTATAAAGTGGTTAGCAAGGTAAGAGTAAGATCCATCATCATCATTGTCCTGTTGTGCCATTATGTCACACAGGGATTGCAGCCTATTTCTTCATTCCATCCTATCCTGTGCAGTAACTTTAATATCAAAGATGGAATCCAGTTCGGCTTCTCTCATCGGTGTTAACTAATGGTTTCTCTTGGACGTTCTCATTAACTAGATCCCTCTGTTTTCTATTTGAGTTGAGTTGAGTCAAGAATTGACATCACAGCACTCGGGGCATTCCCATTGGTGCTCCGTTCTCATCTTGAGAAGCCAGCGCAGAGTTCCAATACTGATGGTACTGGTCACAATCTGTTCATATGTCCGTCTTGCCTTTCCTCCAAGTGTAGTGAGCTGGCCAGACCCTCTGGTTACCCCCAGGTGCCTCATTCTCTCCAGGTTATAATAATCTTCTTTCTCTACTGATTCCGTTGCTTGTTCCATGACTACATCTGCCATGTCATGTATCAATTTACCACCTAGTGGTGCAAATCCAGCCAATCTGTCTGCCTTTTTATTACCCACTACGCACATTGTCTATTTGAGTACCTGTGTAGTGATTCTATGTTTGTATCTTCTCAGTGTGTGTCCAGTACCAGGCCTCTTCTCTGTCTGTTGATACTAATGGTTGCTCAGAAATTTCTTTTATATAATGGAAGGCATACAAATGCCTAAACATATTACATATTCATAAACCTAGGATAGACCCATACAAAACAAGTTTAGTGTACTCTGCAGCTTAGTTGTGGAACTATCTTCCATAACAAACCAAAAATACCACTGGTACCTGAAAATACAATCGGAAACTGTTTGAATATTATCTGAACACAGATTTCATGCCCATATAAAAGATTAAAGTATCTTAGAAATAGCACATATTTTCCCTAGATTTATGTCAATTGCTGAGCTTTACTGTAGTTAGAAATATACACATTCCAGTGCTTGTATTTAATATTTAGCTGCTGTTGATAATGTTTACTATTACTTGATGTGGGAATGAAATGATGTATGAAAGGGGAGAGACTAGATATACAGAGATGTGGATATACAGAAGAAACAGGTCCGGTTTCATGGAAACAAACAATCAAATATAGAGGTTCTGAAGGGAATGAAAAGAGAGTTGCTGAAGGAAATAATCAAGACAAGGGAAATATATTGGCCAAATTAGAAAACATAACACTCTTATGAAAACTATACTGAAAAAAAGGTGAGGGGGGATGTTGGAGGCATATGAAGAGATGTGGTGGCACAAGCGGGAGAAAGTTAAGAGATACATGAACAGTAGTCTGAGAGTATGCATCCAGGGCAAAAGACAGATCATGATGGAGAGCCATTACAACCAACTTTCATTTTGGAGATGGCCCCTGTTGGTTGATTACCTTATTTATAAAATTGTATTAATTTGAAGTTGTTTGTTTATTTCTTGTTTATGTTCTCTATCAGACAAACAGCCCTGCCTTCAGACACTCTGAGAACGCAGTACTGCGACGTTTTAGTGATTTCCTAGGCCTACATGATAGGTTGGCAGAAAGGCATGTTCCATTAGGAGTGATTGTGCCACCAGCTCCTGAAAAAAGTGTCTTAGGTGAGTATTGTTGCGATCAAAGGTTTTATATAGTATTGTAATCTGTTATGCATGTGAGATGGTTATGCTAGTGAATACAGTTGCTGACATATGGATTTTCTTGTCGGGATATTCAGGTATATGGAGTAGTGAGGAGGCTGTAATATGGGCTTCTGATGCTCCTCTGTGTGTTGAGCTACTTTCTGACAGTGGTAAAGGCTTAATAGGATCAAGTGTATAAAAAAGTTAAGGTCCCTTTTCCATGCCTTTAGACATATATGGCTAAACCTATATTTTTATAGACCTATCGGCACGTGATGGGTGATGAGGTCAGTATGAAGTCGGCTGCTTTTACTTTCCGGGACTGCACCCAGTACCCACTTAAGGCTGGATGGACCTCGGAGTGAAGGTCATTTAAAAAAACCAGAGTATCCATATCTCAGAAGATTATTTCAACGGATAGTGAGCAGAGGCTCTGGATGAAATTCAGTGCTGAGGGGGAGACATGGGTGGATTTTTAATCAGCTTGCATCTGGTACTCTTTGCATGGGGACTCTCTGTTGGCTACTTATGAAGGAGACAGAACATGGGGACTCTCTGATGGCTACTGATGAAGGAGACAGAACATGGGGACTCTATGTTAGCTACTGATGAAGGAGATAGAACATGGGGAATCTCTGTTAGCTACATATAAAGGAGAAAGAACATGGGGATTCTCTGTTAGCTTCATATGAAGGAGACAGAACATGGGGACTGTCTGTTAGCTACTGATGGAGGAGACAGAACATAGGGACTCTCTGTTAGCTACTGATGGAGGATACAGAACATGGGGACTCTCTGTTAGCTACTGATGAAGAAGATAGAACATGGGGAATCTCTGTTAGCTACATCTAAAGGAGAAAGAACATGGGGACTCTCTGTTAGCTACTGATGAATGAGACAGAACATGGGGACTCTCTGTTAGCTACTGATGAAGAAGATAGAACATGGGAAATCTCTGTTAGCGACATATAAAAGAGAAAGAACATGGGGTCTCTCTGTTAGCTTCATATGAAGGAGACAGAACATGGGGACTGTCTCTTAGCTACTGATAAAGGTGACGGAACATGGAAACTCTCTTTTGGCTACTGATGAAGGTGACGGAACATGGGAACTCTCTGTTGGCTACTGATAAAGGTGACGGAACATGGGAACTCTCTGTTGGCTACTGATGAAAGAGACAGAAGATGGGGACTCTCTGTTAGCTACTGATGAAGGTGACGGAACATGGGAACTCTCTGTTGGCTACTGATGAAGGTGACGGAACATGGGAACTCTCTGTTGGCTACTGATGAAAGAGACAGAAGATGGGGACTCTCTGTTAGCTACTGATGAAGAAGTTAGAACATGGAAACTTTCAGTTAGCTACAGATGAAGTAGACAGAACATGAGGACTCTGTTAGCTACTGATGAAGAAGACAGAACATGGGGACTCTCTGTTGGCTACTGATAAAGGAGACATAACATGGGACTCTCCCGTTGGCTACTGATGAAGGAGACAGAACATAGGGATATCTGTTGGCTACAGATGAAGGAGACAGAACATGGGGACTCTCTGTTGGCTACTGATGAAGGAGACAGAACATGGTGATCTCTGTTGGCTACTGATGAAGGAGACAGAACATGGGGACTCTCTGTTGGCTACTGATGAAGGAGACGGAACATGGGAACTCTGTTGGCTACTGATGAAAGAGACAGAACATGGGGACTCTCTGTTGGCTACTGATGAAGGAGACAGAATATGGGGATTCTCTGTTGGCTACAGATGAAGGTGACGGAACATGGGAACTCTCTGTTGGCTACGGATGAAGGTGACGGAACATGGGAGCTCTCTGTTGGCTACTGATGAAAGAGACAGAACATGGGGACTCTCTGTTAGCTACTGATGAAGAAGTTAGAACATGGAAACTTTCAGTTAGCTACAGATGAAGTAGACAGAACATGAGGACTGTTAGCTACTGATGAAGTAGACATAATATGGGGACTCTCTGTTGGCTACTGATGAAGGAGACATAACATGGGGACTCTCTGTTGGCTACTGATGAAGGAGACAGAACATAGGGATTTCTGTTGGCTACAGATGAAGGAGACAGAACATTGGGACTTTCTGTTGGCTACTGATGAAGGAGACAGAACATTGGGACTCTCTGTTGGCTACTGATGAAGGAGACAGAACATAGGGTTCTCTGTTGGCTACAGATGAAGGAGACAGAACATAGGGATCTCTGTTGGCTACTGATGAAGGAAACAGAACATGGGGACTCTCTGTTGGCTACTGATGAAGGAGACAGAACATAGGGATCTCTGTTGGCTACAGATGAAGGAGACAGAACATAGGGATCTCTGTTGGCTACTGTTGAAGGAGACAGAACATGGGGATCTCTGTTGGCTACTGATGAAGGAGACAGAATATGGGGATTCTCTGTTGGCTACAGATGAAGGTGACGGAACATGGGAACTCTCTGTTGGCTACGGATGAAGGTGACGGAACATGGGAGCTCTCTGTTGGCTACTGATGAAAGAGACAGAACATGGGGACTCTCTGTTAGCTACTGATGAAGAAGTTAGAACATGGAAACTTTCAGTTAGCTACAGATGAAGTAGACAGAACATGAGGACTCTGTTAGCTACTGATGAAGTAGACATAATATGGGGACTCTCTGTTGGCTACTGATGAAGGAGACATAACATGGGGACTCTCTGTTGGCTACTGATGAAGGAGACAGAACATAGGGATTTCTGTTGGCTACAGATGAAGGAGACAGAACATTGGGACTTTCTGTTGGCTACTGATGAAGGAGACAGAACATTGGGACTCTCTGTTGGCTACTGATGAAGGAGACAGAACATAGGGTTCTCTGTTGGCTACAGATGAAGGAGACAGAACATAGGGATCTCTGTTGGCTACTGATGAAGGAAACAGAACATGGGGACTCTCTGTTGGCTACTGATGAAGGAGACAGAACATAGGGATCTCTGTTGGCTACAGATGAAGGAGACAGAACATAGGGATCTCTGTTGGCTACTGTTGAAGGAGACAGAACATGGGGATCTCTGTTGGCTACTGATGAAGGAGACAGAACATGGGGACTCTCTGTTGGCTTCTGATGAAGGAGACATAACATGGGGACTCTCTGATGGCTACTGATGAAGGAGACATAACATGTGTGGGAATGTCCCGACTGCGGTAATGTCAATTTTTTTAATTCATTTATTTATATAGTTATGATCAGTACATTCTGGCTTTACATATTTGAGAAATTATTTTTTATAATCACAGGAATGACTAAAGTAAAAATGTCAAAAGAAGACTCTGGGTCTTCAGAATTTATTGAGAGACGACGAGCTGCATTAGAAAGGTAATGTGCATTAGAACTAGAAAATGTATTAGAAATATACGGTGCATTAGATAAAGAGATTTCATTAGAAAGTTTTACTTTAGAAATGTAGAGTTTATTAGAAGGAAACAGTTGATCAGAAAGTGAGAATTTATGATAAAGATGTGGAAAGAATGGTGCAGCTGGGAGTGACCAGAGGATCTGGTTAGCACTAGGGCTGTACCGAATAGTGATTGTCACTATTCGGCCGAATACGAATAACGGGACCAACTATTCGGCCAAATACGAATACGAATAGTGTATAGTGTATAAAATATATCTAAAAAAAAACGCACATTCATAATGTTAAATGTACGCTGAACTTTTACTTCACATAAAGTAACAGAATAGTCATCTTCTTCTTTAGCATTCTGAGCCCTTGAGGTTTACTCCTGCAGATATCGCTCATCTCCATTCATGGCTGGCCTTCTCTTCACAATTTGTGACACCAGTTGTTTGCAGGTCTGGCTGGACATTATCTCTCGAACTTCTTTTTTGTCTGCCTCGTGGTCTACGCCTATTCCTCTCTCAGGTGTATGCAGTTTTACTTCTCTGTCATCTGACATTCTTTCAAAATGCCCCAACCATTATAGTCTGTTAGCTCTCGTGATGCCAGTGATCAATGTTGAAATAATTGCACTGGAAACAGCAGTATACCACCTAAAGACTGTAATGGATGTTTACCCCTCAAAGGTCCAAAATATTGTCATCTTCACAGATTCAATGTCTGCCCTTCAAGCTCTGGAGGGCAATGAACGCTGCAGAACTGACATAGCCAAGATAATCCTGGATGCCGATCAGCTTATTACCTCATACAACATCAGAATAGTGATGCAGTGGATTCCAGGTCACTCCGGCACACCAGGTAATGACAGAGCTGACAGATTGGCAAAGAAAGGAGCAACACAAGAACAACCACCTACAGCGACAACCCTCCAGACAGCAAAAACACTGATAAGAGCTATAAACAAAGAGACTTGGTTGAACAGATGGGCCATGGGAGACACTGGAAGAGAGGTTTATAGACATATGTCTGGCCCTGATCCTAATGACAGCATTAACCATCTAACAAGAAGGGACCAGGCCACCATCTTCAGACTTAGAACGCAACATACTCCACTCAATGGACACCTAAACAGAATACAGCCACAACACTCCCCAGAGTGCCAGCTATGTAACTACCCCTACGAAACTGTTGAACACCATCTCTTTGAGTGCCCAAAACTCAGTGAGACAAGAAGAACGCTACTCCCTCCGAGACCAGACAAGTGGAACACCTTGTACGGAGGAAAAGAACAGCTTGTGAAAACATGCAAATTCCACTACATGGCATTGGGCCAAAGAGCGAAAGCTCATGCGCCGCTGGATCGACAACAACAACAACAACAACAACTTCACAATTTGTGACACAAGTTGTTTGCAGGTCTGGCTGGACATTATCTCTCGAACTTCTTTTTTGTCTGCCTCGTGGTCTACGCCTATTCCTCTCTCAGGTGTATGCAGTTTTACTTCTCTGTCATCTGACATTCTTTCAAAATGCCCCAACCATTATAGTCTGTTAGCTCTCGTGATGCCAGTGATCAATGTTGATTTAAACAGATTATGTGTTACGTTGTTGCTTCTCACTCTTCATTCCCCGCTGATGGCATCTTTGATGGATACATAGATTTGTTGTAAGACTTGGAAACTGTCACTGACAGCTTAGTTAATGCAGGAAAGCTGCATTAGCTTTCAACTAAACCAATCATTCCGTGTTGTCAGTATTAAGGCCGTGTGTGCAGAAGTGAGTGTAAGGTAACTATTATTCGTATTCGGCCCGGCCGCAACTATTCGGCCGAATACCGAATAGTCAATAGGTCCACTATTCGGCCCCGAAGCGAATACGAAGCAAATATTCAGTACAGCTCTAGTTAGCACTCTTTACTCAGGGAAAAGGCAAGATGGACATAAAATCAGACTACTGCTGGTATTGTCTGAACTGGAACTTTCCCCTGGCTGCTGGAGATTGGAACGGGGAACTCAAGTGCTCTGTTTACCAGAAAGAAAGTGTTTATTAGAGAGAGTTCATTAGAAAGTTACTTAGAGAGAAAGAGAGCATTCATTAAAGAGTGAAAGTTTATTAGATAGTTCATTAGAAAGAGTTTATTAGAAACAGAGAATTTATCAGAAGGGGTGAATTATTAGAAAGGGATTTTTTATTACAAAGCGAGTTTATTTGAAAGGACCAGTGCAAACAAATAGTAAACAAACTGACTTACTTACTTATTTGCTCCTCTTCTACCTTGGGGTGTAAAGGTTTGCCAGAGAGATCACCAGACTTCTCTGTCAGCATCTTTCTTTTTGGCTTTGTTCCATCCGAGTCCTCTGTTAGGTACTGTCCGATGTTGTCTTCTCAGCGACCCAGGCTAGTTTCTCTTTTGCTGAGAAACCCCTAGTTTATGACCTGGAAAAGTCTCCCAGCTGTTGCTTTTCGAGCAACCAACTCATGCCTCCATTCTGGTCTGTTAAGACTTGGTATTTGAACTGATTGACCAGCTCCAGTGCATCTTTTCCCATCCTGACCTGATGTTTTTTCTCCTCTCTTGAGATTACTATGGTTTTAATTTTAGAGACACTAATGGTCATCCCTCTCTTCTCAGGCTCTTCCTTCCAGACAAGTAGAAAAGATTGAAGATGTGCCTTTGATTTAAAAAAAAAAGTAAAAACTGTGTTAGAAATTAATAACTTTAAAAAAAAAAAATACAAATGTACGCACAAACAATTATCGACTGACACACACTGAAGTTAGTTAGTTGCATATACTCTTCAAAACCTCACCCAAAAAACAAAAACTTTTTTTGGCATTTGTGTAGTTTTATTGTGAATATTACTTGTTTTCATTAGTTTCCAAATGCTGAAAAAGTTTACTTTTACTGATTTTCACAATAAATAAAGAAATACGCAATAACCTGTGCAGCCAATGGTAAATGAAAAATTCAGCCTGAGCATTAGTCATGGTTTGGGAGAAGTTACCACTTCATTTATAATGAACACAAAAAATTCAAAAAGGGGATGTGATTTATAGTATAGATTGGAACTAGATAGGTGAAAATGCTATCAGCCACCTTACTAACTAGTCATCCCCTTGTGGGATGCAATTTTTCCTTATTTTGAAGCCCCACCCTGGCTCTTGCCATGGGCCGCAATATAGCCCGGTCCATAAATATGGCCTAATGGCTGAGCGTGGTTTCCGGGACCTCTCCACTGGTGATCCTCATCCACATGGTGGCACATTGTGTTATCGTGTGTTTATTGCTTGTGTGATGTCCTGGTGGGGTGAAATGTACTACTACTGCCAGCCACCTTTACTTCCTAGAATATTTCCTGGTAGACGTTTTAGGCTTGGTTGACTGGGTGTCATAGGTCAGTAATAAAATATTTGCCCATTTAGTTAGTTAGTTAGTTAGTTAGTTAGTTGGGTTATCATCATTGCACTCCGGACATGTCCATAGGTGCTCAGATCCTCCCCTCAGTATGAATCCCAACGTTTAATAGTACCAGTTCTATGTTGATTAACAAGTCTTCTGACGTTCCGGTGTGCGTCTCGTTTTTTTTGCTGTGCCGATCTTAATTCCCAAGTCTGCCATTCTGGCGAAATGTGGATTCCACTGCCACCAAAGTCCTCTATCCTTCCCATTTCTCTGAGGGCATTGATAATATCAGCATGATCCATAGGCCGACCGTCGGTAGTGATAGCGGATCCAGCCAACCTGTCAGCTCTTTCATTTCCATCGACGCCTGCGTGTCCCGGAACAAAAATAAAGGTGACTCCTCGCACAGTGGACTTCTGAATTAATTCAAGCCATTGTCTTCGCATTATGCCCATTTGTACACTTTTAATCTCAGTAATTTGAATTTAGCTTTCAATTTCTTTGAAACCAGGTTTCTTGTAAGGACAGCAGCACACCCGGCTCTGGCTAACGACCCAGATTTTGTAGAATTCTTAGAGAAAGATGGTGATCTTCCCAAATCCACCAGCACGTCTGCACTCAGTGGAGCTGGTGTGATGAGGCTGTTTCACAAAGTGGGAGAATCTTTTGACAAGATCACTCTGAAGGTGGAAGAAAGTGATGAGGTAGGTGTTTCTGTGATAACCAAAAGTGTCAGAAGTTTTTTCATCATTCAAAGGATTTGAAAGCGTTTCTATGATTTTTTTAGAATCGTCAGTTCAAGGGTTAGTTAGCTTTTAAAGAGGACGTGGTCATTCTTTGGGGCTGATATTTCCAAGTGTTTGCTGTGGGCGGTTAGACTTTGTGTAATTTCCCAAACCGTTTATCATTTTGTCCTAGTTATATAAATTTTGAATACTGTTTTTGATTATCATATATATTATCAACCAAAGATATAAAGAAAATCTTGCAAAAATAACTGGCTCTTAAAAAATTAGCAGCATATTTGGGGATTGGGGAGAGGCAGAGGGAGGGGTTTGAGAGGGGGGAAGAGAGAGAGTGTGAGAGAGAAAGATGAAAATAAAGATGTAGTCTTGAGTGGACAGGTAAAGGCAGGGAGAGAGAGAAAAAGAGAAAGAGAGAAAAAGAGAGAGAGAGGTGAAGAGGCGGACAGGTAAGAGAGGGAAAGAGACCGAGGCAAAATGAGACTTTTTTGGTGCTCTCTGAAACTTCATGACATTATCTAACCTGCATAATTATACAAAAAAGATCGTCAGTGTATACATGGGACCAGCCAGTCCACAGTGGTAGTATATTATGATACTGAAATTATTACTGACTGAAGGTGGTAATTTGGTATTCTTCTTCCTCTTCGTGCTCACCGGCTGTAAACTCTATGGAAAGTTCTGATTTTCGTCCACTTCTGGACTGCAGCCCTTTCATAACCTGAGTGTCGCGTGTACATCCGTTTGACAGATATGACTCATATGTGTGCAGACTGTTTGTTCCTTGCTTCTCAGGCAGATGCACTCCGACTTCAAAGGAAGCTCCCAATTAGTCGACTCTTTTGCTTTTGGGTAGGCAGTGGGTCTATTCTTGTTTTCCCTATAATAGGGCCCCGGAACCCACATGGGGAAATTTGGTGTTTATATAAGTGGCCTATTTGATAGTAGAATTAGTAATAGCACTCATCTCCTGCCTTTGAAGTTCCCACTGTGATTTGTGGACACATCTCACTGGTCTTGTCTCCATAAATGAGACTGAACAGTCTACATATAATCATGCTGGAGTAAGGCAATGCTGTAAGATTACAGCGACCCCTGTGTTTCTTGGGGCTATAGGAGACGCAGAGAATAGTAACTGACATTGTAACCTGCCATGCATATCGTGTAAAGTCTCAGTAGGGACACGGTTGGTTATTGACACATGTTGAATAAGAAGGAAGTTGGTGGTGTTTAGTGAAGAATGAGTGCAAAGTGAGCAAGTGAAATTCACAGAATGAGAGCATAATGAAAAGGGAGGCTGTTAGTCATTTGTGGGATTAGGGCTTCTAATGTAAAGATGAAAAACTCGCAAGACAGATTGTGTATAGTAATTATGTGAAGAACAGAGAAACTGCTTGAATAAGCCAGTTTGTGTGTTGCAAAAGTAAATTAAAGGATCCCTTTTCACTCCTTCAGGCATATTTTGACATATAGGGCTAGACCTATATTTTAATTTTATTGACCAATCAGCACGTAGCGGGTGATGCGGTCAGCATCGTGCCACTTACCTTTGCTTTCCAGGCCTCCACCTTGTACCCACTTAAAACTGCACTTGGAATCAAGGTCAAGTGTGTGTTGTGCCGAAGACATACAGCGGTTGCCTTTGTGGGAAAGGTCTTGTGAAATTTTCAGAAGTCAGTGAAAATAGAACTTTCTTTGGTCATCTGGAGGGATCATATGGTGGGGAAGCATAACAGACTGTGTGCAGTTACCCCTAGCAGAGTTACTATAGACTGGCACAGAGAGACTAGGCAGCTTAGGGACTGTTGAATAAATATTTGCTGACTCACTTTTTCATGTAGAAAACTTTCACTGGAAAATGCCAACAGTCACGAGCAAATCTGTGAAGCCCTTGGTATGAGTTGGTTGAGGGCCTGTTTTTCATTGTGAAGTGAAAGGCTGAAGAAGGAGGAGGTTAAATCATTGCTGCACATTTATGATAACACTGTTCATTTAAGAAATCATTGTCTGTCGAGGGCAGAGATAAACATCGTAACCCGCACAGTCTGTGACGACAGCAGACTAGCCATGCAGCCCTCACTAAAACCTTGGGCTAATGAGTTCCCTGTACTGCCTTAAAAAGGGGTAAATACACGCAATAAGGACAGTTGAAAATAAATTGTACAGTTGAAAACTATATCAAGTGCCTCTACAGCAGTGTTCTTCAACCTTATTACACCTACGGCCCACCAGAACAAGGACAATTATTTCCTGGCCCACTGGGAGTTAATCACACACAGATGGATTTGAAACACGCAGTCGCCATAGATTTGGAGGATGCATACAACAAAGTTCCCTTCCACCAACTAATGTGTCAGTTAATTGAACTCAACATCCCCACACATCTCATTCGATGAATATCTGCCGCACTTTTCAAGAGGAAGGTCGTGCTTCGACGTGGCAGTTGGTCTTCTGAGCCGATAACAATACACCCTGGTTTGTCACAGGGTTCTCTGTTGTCTCCTATCCTCTTCAACATTTACACAGTCAAGATCATAGAAGAACAACTGAGTGGCAGAGGAAGAACTCTTATCATATGCGGATGACACCCTCGTGTACCGACAGGACAGGAACAGAGATGACATTGTTTTGGATCTACAACAGGAATTAGATCGTATATCATCTTGGTGCAAAACCTCAGGGGCAACATTAATCCATCAAAAGCGACAGTCACCTGGTTCTCATTAAATAATCACCTTTCTAAAACACTGATGCCGATAGTAAAACTCTGTGGCGCTGACGTGGAAAGATCTGATTCCATGAAATACCTGGGTATAACATTTGACAAGACGCTTAGCATTTAAAAAACACGTAGACCACATTATAACCAAAGCCAAGGAAGGTCTCACCACAATAAAAGTTATGGGAGCTGCAAACTTTGAGCAACGGCTATTTGTAACGTTGTATCGTGCATTAGTTCTCTCCAACATTAAATATGCCTTGGCCATCATGACACTCAGCACCACATAGATAAACAGATTGGAAAAAATTGAAAACGAGGCAATGCGCATTATTCTTGGATGACACCTTCTGTAAATCCATGCGATACCTCTTGGATTTCCCCACAATGGAAAACAGAATCAAGCTATCCAGAGCTGTTGCTTCCTCAAAGTGAAGTCAGACCATCGACACCCACTTTATGAGGAAATTATTCAAGCAAAAAAAAAGAATAGACTCAAATGCGACAAATCCTGGATGGGTCGGGCTGAGGATGCCATCGTACCTGTTTACCTTGCCACCTTACTGACATTAATTTTGGAAATGAATGGATAATTATGCCTCCCTCTACAAACACTAATATTACAGTCCATATCACACTTGATAGAAGCAGTAGAGAGCAGATTCCTGGCAATTTTCACACTTTAGTCAGAACACTGATTGACAAAAACACAGATGAAGGTGATGCTATAGTTTACACAGATGGGTCAGTCATTAGGGGCAAGCGAAGTGCATGGGCCTTCACAGTAAGCTCAAGGGGGAAACCATCAAATAGATGAATAGCGCCTTTGCTGTTACAACTAGTAAGTAGCCTTACAATGGAAAGTATGGCTGTAACATGGGCTTTAGCATGGCTTGGTACTCAAAAGTTCACTCATGTATGCATTCTTAGTGACTCGATAAATATGCTTAAAAAATCCAAGCTGGATTTATCAGACAAGAATGGATTGAAACACTAAACACTTCACGGATATCTGCCATAACCTTCATCTTTGTGCCAGGTTATGCGGGTGTTCAAGGGAACGAGCGTGCAGACTATCTTGCTGACACTGCAGTTGCTATGGCTAGCCCAGTACTGGACAGAAGTGATGTTATCAATGCCATGCGCTGCACTTACCGTACCGAGGAGCACGCCAAAGGACATGACTCCATATCCCTGTCTAGACTGATGGACATGGGGGTGCAGCCTGGAGCAGCAAGAAATGAACATTTCACTTAGAGGACAAGACGTTTCAATAACCAACACAGAACAGGCGTCATCAGTCGTTTTACACTCGTGGAGCTTTTGAGGGGGAGGTCGGAGCACTTATGGATCTGTCCGGTGTGCTGTGATGATTATCCTTTCTAATCACTAATCAAACACAGACACAGAAACAAATGTAGATGGCAATTTATTTGTTAACTCCGGTGTCACAAAATTACAGTTTTCAGCTAATGCGATATCTGTTGCTGCCTAGAGATTATACAGTCTGATATAAATGGCTGGATCGTTGTTCAGATAGCCGAAGCGCTGCAATAACTTTCATTGAATTTCTCTATTTGGCTTTTAATACCTGTGTTATGCATTTAAACGAGGGTTTTCAGGATTTGTACCTTATTGTTCTCACCTTTGAGGTGTTAATTCTACCTATTGCAATCCTAGAACACAAAAACGACCTACATGTTACATGATTAGGCAAAAATTATTTACAGCTTAACTGGACTTTTCCACGGCCCAAAATGGGTCATTACCCAGGGGTTGAAGAACTCTGCTCTACAGCACAAAGTGAAAGGAGTGTTGAGTGTCGGCCTCATCCCTTGGTAACTCACAATAGCGCCATTCTGCTCAGACCATAATGATCTGTCTGTGCCTCCGCACTGTTCAGTTGCTCTCAAAGGGCCCTTACATCATCTAGCTTGTCATATAACTGGCCAGTCTATCTGCCTGCTCATTTCCAAAAACACCGACATACCTGGAAAAAATATCCAATAGATGCTAACTACTTGGGACCTCTGAAGTGATGCTCATCACTGCACGAAGCAAGCCTGTCTCCACCTTTCTGAACATGCTCTGTGAGTCAGTTACAATCACGGCATGTGTGTACAGCTGGTTTTCAAGCCAGCGGAAGGCAGCAGAGACTGCCTCCACCTCCATTCTCGACCTAGACGTTGTGATATCATATGCCAGGCTTTGCTGCACTAAGTGACATCCATTAGCCATTGCT